AAAAAAAAAAAAAAAAAAAAAAAAACATCCAGAAAAGAGAAAAAAAAAAAAAATGTCATTCTCTCCAACATTCAAGAAGAAAAAACATGCGCAGAGGAAGAAAAAAATAAAATAATCGCACCCTATTGCTAGTGGAAACACTTAACAACTGGCACGTTAAAATTCCTCTCCAATTCGCTTTTCTCTTTCCTTCATTGAACGACATAATCACACTACAAACAAAAAAAAAAAAAAAAAATCTTTCTTTTTTTTCTTTTTTGTTAAGTTACATAAGACTACAATTGCCGTCTTTAGAACTTTTTCGTCGCCTCATTTCTGGCCGCTTGGTAAGTGCTTCGAGAACTTCCTTGGGTAATACCTCTTGCGTTCCAATATATACCATAACCCCATCCACCACACCAGCCTCCTTAAGTGTGGCTGATAAACGTGGTGTAAAGACTGACAATCCACTTGAAGAATCACTGTGTCGCTGCAGTACGTGAGGTACCCACGGTCCTTTCGCCTTGGATACCTTAGAACTATCTAGAGATGCCTGAGCGAGGGCAAGATCCACTAAACGACCAACTACAATCAAACGAGAGAAGTGCATAAAAAATGGAACAACAGCAAATTCACTGGCGAATAAAATTAACGGTGTAACAGAGTCTTCCGTCTTTTTGCCAAATGCTGTACTAGGTGTATTACGGGGAACACCTCGTGATGGTGAAGAAGCAGAAGGGGAAGTCGCAACTTGTGAAGATGTACCAGCAGATGAAGATTCCTTCACAGAAGAGAGAGCCGGTGAAATCCGGATGGCTCGACAATGGTGACGTGCTGGTGCACGGTGTTCAATGCAATACATATTCTTACAATCCTCACAAATAATAGAAGCATGTTCATTCTTTGTGCAATTAGCGTAAGAGCAATAATTCAATCGTTCTTTGGTATTTCTCTGAGGCTGAAGAGGGCGACAACCACGGTCCATATGCCGCGAAACCGCCTCATCTGGTCTCTGATTATTATATTCCAAGGGTACATTAGTTCCACAAAGAGGACATGTTAAGGACTTTGAATTAAAGATTCGGCAGTTATGAGCATTTGCTGGAGTATGATCACAACAGTAAATACCACCGCAGTAAGTACAACGTGTAGCGAGATAATCTACCTGTGAACACCCAGAGAACATACAACGTTTTGACTCATCGTCCTGAATACCAACCTGCATGGTGAATAACGACGCCTACAACTATGAAATAATAATAATAATAAAAAGCATAATAAAAAATATTTTTAAAAGAAAAAAAAAAGAAGTGGTGATTATTATTATTATTATTATTATTATTATTATTATTATTACTTTATCATTAAGAGGCAACAGATAGAGATGAATGTGTTAAAATGAAAAAAGAAGGCCATGCAACATATCATATATGTATATTTCTTTACAGAGAAATTGGTACTCTGATTTAATCGCCTTACAAGATAAAAAAAAAAAAAAAGTACGAGATAAATAAAGAAATAATAATAAAAAAACTGATAGAATCACAAAATAATTATTACTTCATTCTTTTTTTTTTTTTTTCTTTTCATCTTCTTCTTTATTCATAAAATCCAAGTAATATATGGACTAAGACATCTTATTTGAATCAACACCCAAAAATGCGAGAAGGCCAAATGCACGCAACGAAGCGTCAACGGCCAATTCAAGCTTTGTACAACTAAGGGTTGCACTAAGCCACCACGGACTTTCACAACCTGCCAGTTTACCGCCCACAAGACCAAGAAGAACACCCCCAACGACAACATTTTCATTTAAAATCTTCTGAAATTCTTCGCTAGATGGTTCCTTCCACTCAGTTGAAGTGAGAATATCACTAAGCTGACCAGGGGTACGAACAAAAAAAGGTGTATTGCTATTTGTTGCATTGTCGGACACCTCAACTTCTGAGGTTCCAGTTGCAGCCTCAGGAGCCTGGTGTAAAAGTACACGCCAGTGATCCTGTAACCGCACGGACCCTTTTAAAAGTAATTCATGTAATAAATCCGGGTGTTGTGTGGCATCTACTATCATCTTCCGCGCTCGCATGAGTGGAGCAAGATAAGATGCAGATTCCACTACAGCCCGCCAACGACACGGTGCATCTGCCAGATAGTTTCCATCATATGCTTCAAAGGCACGAACACCAACAGAAACAATCTCTACACCAGGACCTTTATAAGGTCGGGTTTCAAAAAGCATACGTGCAGCAGCGATAGTTACTAGAACTATTCGTCGACAAGGGCTTCCATTCGGATTTAAGTGATAAACTGGGACAAGACCACGCTCTATTGTTGAATTTTCAGTTTCCTGTTTCTCATTAGTAAAGTAATAAAAATCATCACTTGAATTGATATCAAAATGGTAAAAATCTGAAATATTTTTCCATACTGAATCTTCCTTACCTACAGGTGCCCAGAGTTTACCCTTTGTCCATTGATTAAGTTTCTCTTGTAACCTTAAAGGTGGAGCCCAATCTGGCATTGATCGTTTACGAAAAGCAGCGATAAAAAAACCTCCTGTATTATCATGATGAGGTAATACTCGTAAAACTTTTTGAGCATCGTAAGTTTCTGGAATCTTTCCTGATTGTAACTGATCTACATTAGGTGAAATAATACCACCAGAAGATCGAAGTACTGCTCCATACTTTTTTAAAATATCGTTCACATCAATAAGTTCTACCGCATCTCCAAAAAGTTCTAATCCTGCACAAACAACCTCTTCATCTTCTTTTGGATTTAAACTACAGGTACTATATACAAGAATACCATCCTCTTTTAGTAAATCCAAACCACGTCGTAGTAATGCTTTCTGTGTAGAGACAAGTGATTTAACGTATCCAGAACTCCAAGAACTTGCAGACGCTGGTTCTTTACGCAATGTACCATCACCACTACATGGAACATCACAAATAATACGATCAAATCGTTTCTCAGTAAAAGAACTTTCTTTATTACTAGATGGAAAAAATAATCGAGGCCATTGAACAGCATCACATCGCATACATATTGCGTTAGGAGCATGATATTTTTTTAAACGAGCTGGGAGAATTTGAGTAGCCTTTACACGATCTTTTTCATTTACTACAAGTACCCCTTGTGTAACACCTGATTTAGACCATCCATATTTCAACATTTCATCAAGTGCTTGAAGTGTTTTACTTCCTGGAGCTGCACACATATCAAGTACTGTGTGATTCGGAGAAATACCTGCAACGATAACTGGAAGAGTAGATACAGCTTCTTGAAAAGACACCGCGCTTGCTGCATGAAGAGTTCGACAAATATACTCTAATCGAGGATCTGCGTGGTAAGCAGAATGTGAACATCCATAAAGACCACTACAAGAAGGCAAAAAAGGTGAAACAGGTTGCAAAACTTCACGCAACTTTGTGTCATGCTGCAAGAATTGATTAGCAATATATTGTAATACGGTCTCGCTTCGGTGAACACGCAATGTCATTGGAAGTGGAGAAGAAAGGCATTTAACAAACTGTTTCCATTCTTCTTCTGCAACTTCAGAATTGTTACACCTAATAAGATCGGCGAAACGATCACCTTTATAATATCTTAGTAGTGGGGCACTTTCATCAATAGGTGCCGTACTTCCAACATTTCGCCGACGTTCATGTACATTAACTGGAGCCATAGCTTGACCAATGGCGAAACACATTTCAGTAACATCAATGCTCCACTCCGTTGACTGACTACGGGGCACACGGCGAACAATAGACAAAAGGTCCTTGCTACATACACCCTCCCCAAGTTCCGTACAAAGACGTTTTAGCCCCTCACCGGCAATAACAAAAACATCCTCATTATTATTATTATTATTATTATTATTATTATTATTATTATTATTATTATTATTATTATTATTATTATTATTTTCTCTCACTTTATCATCGTTGCCTTGAGCTGACTGAGACGTTGCAAAAGTCTTCAAATAACGTAGCGGTGCCGAAGGGTCATCACGTGGGGAGATGCGAGCGATAAGAGCCAAGAGAACAGGTGACATGCACTCACGTTCCCGCTTACGACGCCGTTCACGAGATTTCATTCCTCCTTCCTTCTCTCTCTCTTTCCTTTTCTTTGTGATCTTTTTTTTTTTTTTTCTTAATCCTCTTAATATGAAGTATAGAGACGACTCTCTCCTTTCCCTTCTTTTCCTACACTTTAAAAAAAAGAAGGTAATAAAAAGAAAATGGAATTCAAACAGTATAAAAAGAGAGACATATATATATATATATATATATATANTATATATATATATATATATATATATATATATATATATGCAGAGAGTGTTTGTGTATGTGTGTGTCTGAGAGAGAGTGAGAAAATCATAGAGAAATAGAAAGCTAGATAAAGGGACGCTCACATACAACGTATATATAGCTTGAAACAAGAAATAAATTAAGCAAAACACACTAAGGACATCCACACCACAGCTTTTGGTGATTGTTTTTGTTTTTGTTTTTCTCCTCCCCCACTTTTTTTTTTACTTTTTCAGTCTTCTCCTTCAATCACCTGTCCGTTGGATTAGTATAAAAAAAACAAACAGGGAAAGAAAAAAAAAAAGGTGGGTTTTACACTTCCCAAAACTCTTTTCCATCCTTGTTCCGGATGTCACGATCAGCACCGTGTCTCAAGAGGTAGCGTCCCAATTCTTCATTATTATCCATTGAGGCGTAAAATAAAGCTGTATCGCCACGGTAGTCTTGAAGATTCATCCATCGACGATGTTCCGCACTGTTATGTTTCTTCTTACTTGACGCTATAAGTTCTTCTACTAGATCAAGTGATCCACGGTTAGCGGCGCGATGGAGCGCTGACTGTCCCCGTTTGTTTTGATGATCAATAGACGCCCCAAGTTGTAACAAATAACGCACCAGAGCAAGATTCCCCCGCCCAGCGGCATAAAGAAGTGGTGTATTACCGTGACTATCCGGTTGATCAGCAATTGCCACCTTGTGCAGATCTATACTATCGGTAACAGCCTCATTGCCAGTACTCGTCAGAGCCTCAGGCGCACCATCTCCGTTCTTTTTCTCATTCTCATTCTCATTCTCGTTCTTCTCCTGCGCCAACTTCCACATTCGCTGCTCCGCCGACGCCGCGAGGAGTTCCGCGAGAAACGACTCCGGGGCGCCGACCATGCAGGCCGTGGCGAAGGGAGAGACGCCCTCCGTGTCTTCACTGCAGGCGAGGGCAAAGTGCGGGCCCCGCAGGAGTGTCTGCGCCAACGGGAAGTTCCGCACCGCGACGGCCCAATGCAGCGCCGTGCGGCCATCACCGTCGCGGTGGCTCCAAATGCTGCGGAAGACACGACGCATCTGCGCGTGAGTGCCACTAGTCTCATCACTGCTACTCTTTTTATCAACACCGCCTTCCTCTTCATTATCATGATTCACTTCATTGTCATTGTTGTTCGTGCTATTAGTACCGTCGTTGTCGTCAGCCGAGAGGGCCGATGGGAAAATCCGCCGGAGACTCTCCTCAATGGGCCCCACCTCCGTGCCTTTGCATAGCTCTGAAAGGTGATTGCTCATGTGAACTCGTTCTATGCAATATGTATTTTTACAGGAGAATAAGATTAATAAGAGAGAGAGGAAAAGAAGAAGAGAAGTATATTTCACGCAGAACAGCAAAAAGAAAAAGAAGAAAGAAAAAGAGGAAAAAGGGATAAAAAAGTAAAAAAAGAAAAGAAAAATGAAAGTATGAGGAATAATATTTTGACGTTTGTTTTCTCTCCCTTTTTTAGAGTATATATATAAAAAAAAAAAACAAAGATGGTTAGCCATCAAAGGATCGCCCACCTTCGTATATAAGAATATTATCATAAATAAAACAACAATTATAATGATATGTGCCATAGAAAAAAAAAAAAGATACAAATGTTCACTATACATTCAGAGAAAAGGTAATGTTAATGGGGTGTTTTTCGTTTTTTTTTTTTTTTTTTTTTTTTTCTTTCCTTAGTTTAAAATAGCTACACCCTTTCCATTTACCTCTTGCTTCTAGTTTCCACCTTCATACCAAGAGAAACTCTATTCATTCCCAGGTTGCATCCAATAAGCCTTACAGACTTCAGCACACTCTACAGCAATACGCATATTAGGAACTAGTCCTGCAACCATTTCAAAAAAAGGTATGATAATGTAGCTCATAAAGGCAATTTGTCCTTTTGCAAGAGCCGGTTGCATACGATCCATAAATGGACTACATGACATTCCCAAGTTACGCTCTCGATCTCCTTGCATATAAAACTCGTCTGAGACTTTTGCACTCCATTTAAGATAAATATCTAATGGTCTTCCACAATTTGAGATATCAGCCATTTTTAATGCTATAGATAAAGCGAGGTTTTGATCTTCACGTTCTGTAAAGGTGGCATGTTCACCTAAGCGACGTTTAAACTGTGTTACATATTTTTCGTGTAAACTCATATCTGTAGCAAGAACCATTTCAATGACAGTTTCTCGTATATCTCGACGATTATCTGCAGAAAAACAAGCAAGGATATCAAAACGCGGATTTTTCATCAATTCAAAGACGCTAGCAACATGCATATTTTCCAATACACTACGGTCATTGTAAAGAGTTGCATTGTATGATTGTGTTTTAATGTGAAAATTATTATTTACACCAGGATGATTATAGTCATGAATAGCTGAAGCAAATAGAGCTGCAAATACCTGTCTATCAGATAATTCACATCGACTTGCCATTCCACCTTTACTTAATATGTAATGTGTGACGTGTAAAACATCTGCTGCATGCATAGAGTTATGATAAGGATTACCATGATATCCAGCTTCAACATTGCTAATCCAATTTAAAGCAATCTGCTCATCCATATTAAACTTAGATAAAAAATCGTATCTAACTAGTAATGCATACATGGTTATAAAGAGGGAACCTCCATTTGGTTGATCTTGTAATGACTCAAAATCATCTCCAGTCATAGCTGATTGAACATCAAAGATGTTATAGTCCCATTCATCTATTTTATCCAATGCTTTCCATACAATTTCCCGTCGTTTATCAGTAAAGTTTTCAGTTTCTTTTGCAAGTTCTGAAGAAGAAAAGGGAACAATAACCCGTTTATACGATGGGTTTGGACCTTCTTTCTCTATAGTTGTCCAACGACTCTTTATAAGACGCAAGAGAATAGGATCATAATCTTTACACTCTTTATCTCCTAACGGTTTTCGTATACGTTCTATTCCGGAAATTTCTTTTTCCATACCGTTAATAACCTTGTTCATATTGTTTTCACCAGAATCTGTAGAAAGAATTGCACTCTTATCGTTTTCCAATTTTTCAAGTTCCGTTTTCATTTGATCTAATCGCATTGCATTAACAACATCTTGAAGTCTCTTTCGTGTATTGTTCTCTTGTAATACTTGTATCTCTTCTTCGAGTTGTTCACATTGTATTTTAGCCTGTTCTGCCTCTTCTGCTAACTCTCCTAATCGTTTCTCTTTATCCCTTGGATAACAATGAATAGTGTAAAGATCCACCAGATTCTTGACAATCACTGGTAACACATCTTCAGATGATTTTTTTACTGTGAAAGATATTTGGCATTCTTTTTCTTCACCGCCTGATGTGCAACATAATACCTTCACAGAAGATTCTGTTAAAGTTTGAAGACTCACGTGGCCTTGATAAAATGATTCCCGAATGATGTCGAAGAAACGTGACCAACTAACATGTTCTCCGAGTGAAGCCTTAATTCTGGAAAGGGACTCATCATCATACTCCTCTTGATAAGAGGACCCATCAGCTGTCACTACGGATATACTGAATCGTTCAGCCTCACTATCCATTCCAGCCCTGACCGACGATTTATCATCGGCCATGGCAAATAAACTTGGACAATGATGTAATTCTGCCAACATACTCAATGTCAATACTCGCCAATATGTGATGTTAGGGGTTCTTTTTATTTATCCCCGTTTTTTTTTTTTTTTTTGTTTCAGCCTTTTTTCTTTTGTTTTAGTGAGAGAGAAAGAGAGGAAGACAGTCTATTAACTCTTTTACTCTTCACTTTAATACCTTGTTCCTTCTTGAACTAAAAAAGGCACTTTTCTCTCTGTTTGTTTGCGTACAGAAGTGCAAACAATATAAGAAGAAGAAAACGGAAAAAAAAGAGAGAACGGCAATACAGCAAGGATTAACTTCCCACACCAGAGAAACAAAAGATAAACAAAAAGATAAAAGAAAATATATCCGTATAAGAAAAACGAGATAAAAAAAAAAATGAGTGAATGAGAAGAGGTGCATATTTTGTTTCTTCTTTGATGATGCAAATAATAAGTCAGTGGTAGTAGTGGTGGTGTCTTCACCCTCTTTCTTTCGTTCCATGTAATGTTTTGTTCCCTCTCTCTTCCATCTCCCTCTCATAAATATATATATATATATATATATATATATACTTGGCGGGAGTGTGAGACCCACACCTATATTATTGGCTCTCCCACGCTACAGTGTGGTACACTCCTAAAAGAAGAAGAAGATAACAGAAAACAGGGGGGGGGGGAGAAAAAAACAACAACAAAAACAAAAAACAACAAAAACTAAGAAAGAAAAGAAGAAAAAAAGAGGTGTCTGTGAATGTGTTTGTCTTGACTTAATTCCAGGAAATACGTTGATCTAAAATATTTCTCATCTCGCTGTCTTCATGTACCCCAGAATCGAGAAATGACAAACACACACACATACACATGTGTATACCGAGGCAACTACAAGTGCGGAGAAAAGAAAAATAAATTAAAAAAAAAAAATGAAGAGAGAAAGTGTCAAAAGGGAAATAAACCTCATGCACCCATACTCTGTCATCGTACCACGCACACAAGCACACCTAAAATTCATCACACCAGCACAAAAATAGAAACACAAGGGGGGAAGGAGGGTAGGGAGAGAGAGAGAGAGAGATCATACTATTGAGGAAGAATCAAGCAACAGAACATCCAAGCCATCAAAATCATGCAAGGAAAGTTTCCACGCTATTTTCAAAAACAGCAACTACGATCAGATATAAGAAAAAAGAAGCAAATGTGTAGTTTAATCCATTTATTTCTTATATATTCGCCCTTCGTTTACATTGTATTTTTTCGTTCTTGTTATGAACAGCATTGCAGGTTTGTAGCTATTCTTTATCAGTTATCTATTCTCTATCTACATTGTTCTGTGGGTCAAATTTTTATATAAACATATAATTATATATGCGTATAAATGCATACAGGGGTATATATGTTGCATATGTATATTTCAGTTAGTCTTATTCTTTACGGTTTTTTGCAGGTATGCCCAGTATATAAAAAAAAAAAAAAAAAAACTCAAGAACAAAAAAAAAAAAAAAATGGCAGTAATCAAGATCAAAGAAGCAACAAGGGACTCATAAACTACACTTTGGCCTTTTCCCTTTCTACATTTCCTTTCTTTTTTTTCCCTTTTCTTTCGTTCCTTTCTCCTCGCATTCCCTTTACTTATTCCAATGAGGTCTTAACCCCTCTTTTTTTTTTCCTTTTTTTTTAACCTGTAAAGCTTCTAACATTATATCACAAAATGCCGATTTCTTCGCGTATTTTCTTTTTTTATGTTTTATCTTTTCTGAATTTCCTCACTGCACGTTTTGCATCGCAGTCCAAAACGCAAGGAAATTTCTTCCCCGAAGGCTTTTTTTTTTTTTTTTCAGGAGGGAAGAAAAAGAAAAAAGGAATAACAAATTCAGTGAGAAACTGTCCAGAAAGCAAAAAAAAAAAAAACAAGAGATATTAACAAAAGAAAAAAAAGAATGAAAACAAAACCAAACCACCGTTAAGATCTACCTCTGAGCATTTGCCGTCGTACTTCTACACCACCGAACTGTACCAGACCGTCTCATCTCCACTTGTTCCTTTTCTCAATACATCCGTGAAGTGCACATCACCATTTATTTTGTTTTTGCTTTTTTTTTTTTTACTTTCTGTTTTTCGATGTTTTCTTCTTTTTTTCTTTCGTTTTTTTTTTTTTCGTATTTTCTTTTTTTTTTTTTTTTTCTTTAGCCATATACATACCTGGCATCCCAGTGCATATTCTCTGTTTATTTATTTAAAGAAATACTACACTTTTGTGTACTCTCCGTCACAAAACCCTGCAAATACATCTTGCTGTGGTGCTGTTAGGGGTTGCAGTGGGTGGTGTGGACTCTCTGGATAGCGGTCAAAGTAACGGGTGTCGCCGTCTTTGGTGAGACGTACAGGAATGGGCGGCGGCACCTTCTTCTCCAGCACCACATCCCAATCTACACCACTGTAGAATTTATGCCGCTTCACGTCCTGTGCCCCACGTTTGAGTGAGCCCAATCGTTTTGTTGGGTCAAGCGCAAGAAGATTTTTAATAAGATCCCGCGCCCTTAACTCCACCCAGCGGGGAAATTGCAATTTACCTTCCAGAATCTTTTCATAGATTTTAAAAGGGCTCTCATCAAAGAAGGGAGGATAACCAACCAGCATCTCATAGAGTAAAATACCAAGTGCCCACCAATCCACAGCCTTGTTGTGCCCTTTACTTTGAATAACTTCAGGGGCAAGATACTCTGGCGTGCCGCACAGCGTAAAGGTACGCTCATTCACACGCTTCGCAAACCCAAAATCAGTAATTTTTATATTTCCTTGGGCATCCAAAAGCAAATTTTCTGGTTTTAGGTCGCGGTATACAATATTACAGCTGTGAAGGTATTCAAACGCCAAAACTACTTCTGCGGAATAAAATTTTGCCACATCATTTGGAAACTTTCCCGCTTTCCGCAGGTGTGAAAAAAGTTCTCCGCCTACCACATATTCAAGAAGAATGTACAAACGATCATCATCCATAAAACCCTTAAGCATGTTTACAATAAAAGGATGATTAACTTCTTGTAAAATACTTGATTCAGCCAAAATGTGATCAACCTGCTTCATACGTAGAATTTCTTGTTTTTTAAGAATTTTCAATGCCAAATATCGACCAGTACCTTTATGTTTGCATAAACGAACACGGCCAAAAGTGCCAGTACCTATTGTCTCTCCCATTTCTAAATCTTGTAGCTTCCATCCGGCAACCTCCTCCCTTGTTATGGGTCCACTGTGGTTCATTTGATAGACAAACACA